ACACCCACACCCCACACCCACACCCACACCCCACACCCACCCTCAACCTTTTTGGTTCATAATCAGATGGTATATCAAACACTAACTTCATTTGACGAAAACGGCGATTACTTTTATTATCATTCCAAGACTCAAAACCTTTTTTCATCACCTGTTGGCATCTTGCACTAAATGTAAAAAGGTAGAGTGAAATCGCCTTCTCTTGAATAACAGAAATCACCAATCTTACCTTCGCAGATCGTCCGGTAATAACAAACAAATATTCATAAGTACATTCAAAGTGGAAATCCTTATACATGAACGATCAGTCGTTTGAATTCGATTGGCTACCGAAAACTAAATTACAAAGATTAATAGAAATATACTGTTGAAAAGGAAATCAGATTTGCAACTTACTCCTCTGTCGCACTCAGCACTGTTTGTTGTTGATATTAAATAAATATTCAATAAAAAAATTATATTCTTGTTTTCCGAGAGAAATTGGCTGTTTATTGATTGCTGTAACAATAAAAATTGTTGCCAAAATGTTTCTTGTAGATCAGTAGCTGAGGACCTGCCCAAAAAACGACTTAATGATCGTTTCAATAATTCCTATTCATTTTGAATAGCATAGAAATCAAATCCAAGAAGATCTTTATATTTATTTCGAATAAAATTCAATTCTTGTCGACCATAAGCTGGACAATCAATATCTTTCTTGTGTTCGATCAGGTAACGTGGATCAAACAAAAGAGTCATACACTCTAATATTGGTGATGGAGCAAATCGTTTGTCGAGTTCTTCGAGTAAACGTTGAATGTGTACTAAGCATTCTTGGGCTTATTTTTGTCGATTGCATAGATCGATTTTGAAAGCTCCGTAAGTTCCATTTCTTGTTGTTTTTATATAATCAGTTAATGCTGGTCCCCATACTGGTGTTGATTGAGATATCCATTGTGATATTAAACATTTTTTTTCATCTATTTCTTTCATAAGACAGTAGTAAGACACCTTGTCGAATTGCATTAGTTTTGTAATTGGCCCTAAAGTGCAAGATGAGAAAAAATAGAAGCTGAATAGTTTAATTTTATTTACCAAGAGCACACTCGTGAAGGTCGTGATGGAAATGAAGCAGGAATAGAAATTGATCATTAATACACATTGAAATAATTCCTTTGTTGCATCACGATCTGCCTGTGAACAAATTGAATCACATGCGTTCTGTTCGAGGGTTGCTGGAAGTGCCTGATTATCTAGAAGACGAGAATTTCATCAAGGCGTTATATAAGAATCAATAAGATCTTAATTACTTGGCTGCACATTTTGAATAATAGGTTTAATACACCCTTGTATAGAAGACCAACGGATATCGTAAATTCGCTTGAATTTTAATTCCGGCATATCTAAGAAATTTTGCCAATCTTTTAACTTTTGTTGACGATTTGGACTTCTTCCAAAGTAATTATACATCTTTCCAATCGTTGTTTCTAAATTCGAAACAATTTCAACGATAACTGATTTACCAGTATCTACAATACAAAATTGGAAATAAAACAATTAAGCTACTACCTCGAGGAAAATTTAAAGTATTACTTGGATCAATTGTCCACGATGCTCCATTACCAACCAAGCTAAATGAATGTGCAGTACATGTGTTGGATTCAAGCCAATCTATTCTGAAACGGCGTCGTAGTTCTGCTACCACACCTTCATTTATTCCTGCAATTAAATAAGTAGAGTTTCGTCAGAATCTCGTTATTTATAAAAATTCAAAAGTACCTGTGAATGTCGATGCATTGTCACTTGCAAACCAGCATGTGTTAGCTGGATCCAAATCATCTGTTAGCCAGAGACTGCTGATTGTTTTGACTATGTTCTCAGCAGTTCCATCACGTTCCATATTAAGTAACGAATAAAACGATGTTTTTGGCTGATTATTTTCAAGATACCGAACATAAACAATACAACTTTTTTCAACTGTTCTCGACGTCGACTCATCCATCATCCATGCTACAAAGAATAAAAATAAAAATCAATCAAAGATTTGTATCAACAAAAGAAAATCCACAAACCTTTTACAGTACTAGCTTTTACTTTCTTGACCAATTCTTTGTGCAAATAAAATGTAACATGTCGAAGAAAGGATAAAGCAGCATCGTTATTCCGATAATTCACACCAGATATTATCGAAGGTAATAATTGAACACCAAGTTTTTCAAGTAAAATACACAATTCTTCCAAACAATTCAATGATTGATATTGACGACAAAAATAAATTGAGGCGAGCATCAGGTTTTGAACTGCTAGTTCCTGTTTTGAAATTTGTTTTGCTTGTGTTTCGGTCCGAGATGGTTGTGTTCGAGATGATATTTTCAATTCGATTTCTTCAGCTTGTTGATGAACGTCATTGTCTTTGTGCTGCTTTATCTTATCAAGTAAAAATGTTCCATTACCTGTAGTACACCAAATGTTTTCTTTTCCTAAAACATACAAATAACTTCTATGAAATGTATCAATGTTTCACTCACCATTGATATTTCTTCTTTTGTCATATTTTTCACATAAACTACAACGCATCATATCGTCTTTCAAATACAACCAGGACAACAATTTTTCACTTCTTTTATCAAATTGATCAAACACATAAGTTTTATACATAGCTTCAGGTTGTTTTTCCCAAGCAGAAAGATATTTACGAGGGTGGGTGTGGGTGTGGGTGTGGGGTGTGGGTGCGGGTGGGTGTGCAGTGTTGGTGTGTCTCTATCCTTCATTCATACTTCCACCCACACCCACACCCACACCCACACCCACACCCACAC